GGTGTGGTAGGAGACTAGCAAATGTGGTCCAAAGACCAAGAAAACTAGTTTCCCGACCAAAAAATCGGCTGGTGGGAAGAAAAGTGGTCTCTAAGGAGAAAAACTGGTTTCCAGGGGTAATTGGTGGTCTCCACACTGAAAGTAAACCAGTGGTGTGGTGGGAGACCAGCAAATGTGACCCAAAAGACCAAGAAAACCAGTTTTCCGACCAGAAAACCGGCTGGCGGGAAGAAAAGTGGTTTCCAAGGAGAAAAACTGGTTTCCAAGGGGGAAAAAGTGGTCTCTTACCCATGTACCACTTCCCAAACATGAAAAGTAAGGTTCGTGCCAAGAACGAACCAACATGGATGCAAAACGAGAGTTTGGGAGGCAAAACGCGCGGCCGGGGGCCCCGAAAACTGGCTGTTGAGCACAAAAAGTGGCGTATGACCACAAAAGTGGTCTCCCAGACCACAGTGTCCCTCTAGATGGAGGAAACAAGGTGTGTTCTAAAAACCGTGCCAAACGGAGAATGTTAAGCGGCCCCGAGCCGGGGCGCACGACCAATGGCTTCGAAAATCGAAAACTAGTCTCAAAACAGGAACAGTGGCCTACGACCACGAAAAGTAGTCTACGACCACTGAGAGATGGTCTACAAGATCTCTCCCTCCTTCTGGGAAGAGAAAACAAGACTTAGTCCGCAGACCGAGTCAAAGTACAAAGAGTCCCGAGGTCCGGAGGTGAGGCTCTCAGCCAAGAACTCCGAAACCTTGAAACGAGCACAACATGCGCAATCACCGAGCACTCAATTGGTGACGTCCGAGTCTTAAGGTTGGTCAAAAATGGGGTGTCTACAGTCATATTGAGTCGATGAGTTCTTACTTCGGTAATAGATGATGAAACGAGCTTAGCCGACGTGCTAAATGGAAGAAATGATATAGGTTGCATCATCTCAGGATGCCGAGGTAATAGAACCTAGGGGGTAGTTGTGGGGACATAATTTTTAAATGACAACATGTAGCCGAGGTGTCACCGAAGTGCCAGTTGAGGTGCCACGTGTCCTGGTCATGACGTCGAGATCATCTCGGCTAAGCCGAGGTTATCTGCGAAGATACCAGAATCCGGAATAAGCGGATAAGGGGCAAGAGTCCTAGAATAAGAGATGACTTCAGTTTGGGTAAAGATAAAACTCTTCGAGAGTTTATCCCAATCCTACTGGGAGTCCAAGATTAGCAGTAATCCTAAATCCATTAGAACTAGGCTTCTATTGGGACTAGGATTGTGTTGGCTATAAAAGTGAGGCACCCTCATGGGTCTAAGGTATGCTTTTTATATTCTGAATAGTGAGTTAAGCTCTTTTGCTATCTTTGAGAGATAACTGACTTGATCGTCGGAGTGCCTCGAGTGGACGAACCACCTCCAGAATCTCTTCTTTTCTGTGATAGATCGTTCGGGCTTAATCTATTTTGGCAATGTTCTGCAGCTAAGTGCTTGATTGGCAGTGTGGTCGGAAATTGACATACACAGATGATACATATATAAACCACACACATCAGTAACACACAGATTATACATGCATATATATATATATATGAAATATGATGTTCAAATAATTAATAAAAGAAGAGAGGACGAATACTCGAGCCATTCGTAGACGGACGGTTAAGATTGAAAAGAATACGAATACCACCGGTACGCCATAGTCAAATTTAAAGACTTTCAAACAAAAAATAATAAAATTCACCAACTTCTCTAACTTCAATTAAAGCATATCTTTAGTACCAAAAATCCAAATTGGAGCTCAACATATGCCTAGACTATTCCGTATTCACCCTCATGTCGTCCACTGAAAAATAATCAGTGTGTTTGGCTTCAGTTTTTTAAATTAAATTTTTTGAAAATTGAGTTTTTTATTTTTTTGTTTTTAGTGAATATTTTTAAAATTTTAAGCAATTGTTTACTTTTTTATATGCATCTTACTTAGAGATGCATCTAAAAAGTAAAATATTTGTGAAAAAATATTTTAAAAATTAATAAATGCACAAAAAATATGAAAAATATACTAAATTTTCATTTTATTTTATTTTTTTGTATTTTTGGTATTTAGTAAATTTTTTAAAGATGTTTTTCACAAAAATTATATTTTTTAAGTGTATTTATGTTAGTTGTGTCTAAAAATTAAAAAAAATTGCTTAAAATATTAAAAAAAATTAGTGAAAAAAAAAAGAAAAAAAAAAAAAAGAAAGTATAAATTTTTAAAAAATATTTTTAAAAAATTAAAACCAAACATAACGAATGATATTATTAGAAAAAAGTATCCCTTAACTTTCCTCGGATTGAGAAACGAAAAGTAAAAACAATCAATTTAATAAAAGCAAACTCACAGTCTATATCTGGAAGTCCACTAATTAATAGTTTCAGTTCCTTATCATTAAAAATAGATATCAAATCACAAGGTATTAGTTCATTAAAACCTTCCAAAAATGCAGTTATTTGAGGATGAATAGCAGTAGTCAAACGATGCTCAGCAACTAAATCAACATTCAACATATTCAAGCTTATTTTCCTCAATTACTCGAATGTTCCGTCCACCAGGGATCAATTCATAGTCAGTTACTTGCATTATGTAAATTAAAATTTCTTTGTGATATATAGGTATTGAGGTTGAGGGGCTTTAGAAATTACAAAATAATATTATGAATCTTTTTCAATACTAAAAATGAGATAGAAACTTTAAACTAATTTTCTCAAAAAACAATTGCTAAACCCGACTAACAATCAGTGTATTTGGTTTGAGTTTTCTGGATTAAGTTTTTTGAAAACTGAATTTTTTATTTTTCGTGTTTTTTTGTTTTTAGTGAATATTTTTAAAATTTTAAACATTTTTTTTAGTTTTTTAGATGCATCTTACTTAGATGTATCTAAAAAGTAAAAAAATTGTGAAAAAATATTTTTAAAAATTATTAAATACATAAAAATACAAAAAATGTATTGAATTCTCATATTTTTTTTGTATTTTTGGTATTTAGTGAATTTTTAAAAGGTTTTTTTCACAATTTTTTTACTTTTTAGGTATATTTATGTTAGGTATATCTAAAAATTAAAAAATTTGCTTAAAATATTAAAAAAATTCATGAAAAACAAAAAAATATGAAAAATAAAAAAGTAAAATTTTCTGAAAATTGTTTTCAAAAAAACGAAACCAAACAAGCTGAATAACTTTCTTTCACCCACAAAGGAAAAAATAGCTTTCTACCATATTGCGAAGTCACCTCAGCTCCAAAAACAATTACATTGGAGATCCAACCTCATACTTGAAATATTAAGGCCTCATTTGGTAGTCCAATGTATTCCAATGAAGTGTTTTTAAGAGTTTTGTAGAGAAAGTGTTGCTGAAAAGAAGTTTACTACTATTGGATGCGGCACTTGACATCAAAGTGCTTCAAAGATGCAGCCTTAGTTTAATTTTCAGATACTTATTTTAGAAAAATAAAATTACAAAATTAAAAATTAAAATTAATTTGATGAAAGAAATAAAAAATATAAAAACATTTATCATTTATACATAATCTTATTTTTTCGGAGGTTAAAAATAATTTTTATCAAATTAGTTTCTATTTTTTAAAAAAAAAAGTTTTAATTTTTTTTTTCAAACACAGACCAAACATGGAAAAAATTTAGCCAAAAAAACCAATCTCTCTCTACTTTTTTTGTCCATCTTTTTATAATTCTTTCACACTAAATGCACAGTATTACCAATTGAAACACCCATCAATAAACAATTATCAAAAGTTCAATAGGTATCTACACAAAAAAGACAAGGTAGTTTCATAAAATAAGTTTTCCATATTAATATCCATTTTCTTATATTTTTGAAAACTAAAAGCAGAGAAGAAAAACAATACAATAAAAAAAAAAAAAAAAAAAAACTGAGAGTTTAATTTTCAGATACTTATTTTAGAAAAATAAAATTACAAAATTAAAAATTAAAATTAATTTGATGAAAGAAATAAAAAAAATAAAAACATTTATCATTTATACATAATCTTATTTTTTCAGACGTTAAAAATAATTTTTATCAAATTAGTTTCTATTTTTTTTTTTTTAAAAGTTTTAGGGCTCGTTTGGTTTGTATTTCTGAAAAATTTTTGGAAAATTTTCTCTACAAATAAGTTTTTAAAAGTAATCAAACCAAAAAAATTTTCCCAAAAAAATTTCTCAAAACTTGTAAATCAAACAAGTTTTCCAAACAAATCTCTCTCTCACACACATCAAATCAATTACTTTTTCCAAAACTCTCTCTCAAAATAATTTTCCAAAACATCTTTTGAAAAAAACCAAACCAAACAACTTTTCGTACTTTTTATCTCTAAAACACATCTCCCAAACACAAACCAAACATACCCTTAATTTTTTTTCTCAAACACAGACCAAACATGGGAAAATTTTAGCCAAAAAAACCAATCTCTCCCTACTTTTTTTGTCCATCTTTTTATAATACTTTCACACTAAATGCACAGTATTACCAACTGAAACACCCATCAATAAACAATTATCAAAAGTTCAATAGGTATCTACACAAAAAAGACAAGGTAGTTTCATAAAATAAGTTTTCCATATTAATATCCATTTTCTTATATTTTTGAAAACTAAAAGCAGAGAAGAAAAACAATACAATAAAAAAAAAAAAAAAAAACTGAGTCTACTCTTTGGTACAATAAAAAACAAAAATCAACGAAAAATATTTTTCATAGTCAATAGAAAATAAATTTATATAAGCACAAAATATTTATCATTTTTGAAAGGCAAAACATATTTTCTGAACTAAAATTTTATCAATGTCACCAGGCTACTATCACCATTCTCACCTCTAACACTACACAACCATCACCACATCCACCGCCACCATCATTGTCACTATCACTGCTGCCGTCACCCCATCACCATGCCACCGCCTCCACTTCCACTTTCATTCCACAACCACAACCACCAAACATAAAAAAAATATTTTCTCCACAACATTTTCTGAAAAAAGATTTCCGTAAAAAATGTTCACCATTACAAAATGTTTTCCATCTAAACAAACAAATGAAGCATTAGTGGAAACTAAAAACATTTTCAATAGGCATCCATCTCATAAGAAACAACAAATGAATGCTAGTTACACACCTCCTTCATGGAATACACACCTACTTACAACATTCTCTCTCTTTCAGGCGTATTGCATTCTCTGATCTCCATTCATGGGTAGGTTCGATCAAGATTATACTTCAACTTTCAACAATCAGAGAATGAGATAAGACAACACGACAACACATGCCTTGACAGGACAACAGCAGGTCAGAAACTCCGACATTCAACTTTTAGTACTTCCTGATTAAAATAATGACAATAACAACTGATTACAACAGCCCTAATTGAATCCCGCTTATCTTATTTCTCCGACAAGCCTGCCTCAACTCTGCCAACCAATATGTACAAACTGAAAAGGCAGCAAATTCGTGAAGAAAGATCTTTGATGAGAGTCTTGAAGCTAAAGATCAAGTGCCTGTGGAACAAATTTCATCGGGTTTGTCAATTCCATTTAACTTCGGCTTATGCATCACAGGCTTTGGTGGGGGTGTCCTTTTTAAAGCAGTTCTACTAGGTTGCCTGGTGCTTTGAGATCCAAGCCTTCGTACTGGTCAAACAAAACAACAAACACTCAAAAGAGTTGCAAAACAAAGACGGTTGTTAGAAAAAGCCAAAGAAATCACAAATACAAATGGGTTTAAGCTATGTGCCAAGTTTGAGTCGCCAAGTTACGATTAAGTCTCCACATAAACAACTGAGAAAAAGGACTTGGCTATTTAGTTGCTTGGCTGCAAATGTTTTCCCTTCAATGAGTGAAACCGAAAGAGAGGATAAATTACACTTTTCACCCTTATAGTTTGACCTAAATTTCAATTTTGTCTGTGCTCTCTTAATGCGACTGACACGCATTCAAAAATCATGAATTTAAAAGTCCAATTTGAATGGAAATAACAAATTGAAAGTGGACTTAAAAACTAGGGTTAATATTGTTCAAATTGAAACACTAGGGTCTAAAGTGAAATTTGGGTCAAACTAAAGGGCTGAAAGTGTAATTTACCCCTGAATAACCTATTGGATTATCAAAAAGGATCTTCTCAACATCAAGCATCAACATCCACAACATTTAACAAGCACAACCAGGGATGAACTAGGTGTACCATGACTATAACAACCAAAAATTGAACCCTAAGCCAACCCAAAATAGTCACCATCACTGACAATGGTTTCAAATGAATAATATCAGTGAGCACCTCCGCTATGCTTTCAAAAACTCCTGTATCTACTAGTATCAACTATTAATTATTTTCAAATTATACGAATTCGAACCCCCCAGGTTTTTTTTTTTTTTAAATTATTAAAAAAAAAAAGGAAAAAAAAAACAAGTGGTTGCACAACCCACACTTCTATATCTCTGAGACATGGAGTTTAAAAAGTGAAAAAAAAAAAATTTAATTTTGACAAAATATAATAATAGTTTCTCACAGCTAACTAGTGTCGATAGATTGTCTTACAATTGTTATTTTTTATGACTCAACATGAATATAAGAAAACATGTTTATTTATATATGTTTTCAATGCTACTTTTCACCTTTTATGTTGGTAGAAATTGATGTTGTAGTTTATATATATTTTTTAAATGAAAAATGCTAGAGACCCACAATTTAAACTCTTAAATTCACCCACAAACAATGATAGGGGCAAAGTAGTGGAACCCTAATGAATAAGTGTGTGACAAATCAAAAATTGACACCTATCATACCTCAATATTGTGGGCTGTGAGAGCTTTTTTAAGAGTTTCAAACTTTTTTTTTAAAAAAAAATTTGTTGGTTTATATGTTTGCTCCCCCCTATACTAGGATATTACAATCCTGGGTCCGTCCATGTCAGTGAGCATAAACCATGCAAGAGAGAAAAAGAGAGAGGGAGTCACCGCTATTAGGCAGAGATAATCGCTTCTTTGCTTGCTGATCTAAAAGCACAGATCTCTCTTTAGGATTGCTGTGGGATCTCAACCCAATACCAGTTCTTGAACCAGCTTCTTCAACCAAATCTTCAAGAGGTGACTTAGACTTTGGCTTGGTAAACAGTGTGGTCGTTGCTTCTTGCATGCTTGTGGACTTGTTGGGTGAAGAGTTACAACCGTCCAATTGAGAGGGACCCATTTTGTGATTTGACAGGTTGGAATGAAGGTTTGAAGGAATGGGTTTCTTACCAGCAGATTTTAACAAGGTGCTGATACCATTCTTTCCTTCAGCTGATCCATTCTCTCTCACTCCATCCTTGAGATTGATGTCGAGAAATCGGTTTTCCCATGGACGAACAGCCATCCATCTCTCCAACCAGTTCCAGCCCCAGTTGCTTTCATCTGCTTCAAACCCAGAGAGAGCTTGATGTTGCCTTGATCCTGCCTGCCACTACAGCACATGGATCATATTTTTTGAGTCAGCTGTAGATAAACAAATAAACAAAACGCCAACAAAGCATGTATTGAACAGTGCTACCCCACAAATTTAGTGATCAATTTTGTCAATCCATAACATTTAAGATATGAATAATGAGAAAATTGGGAGCGGGATTTTTGGGGTGTTATGGGAGTAACTCCAGGAATAGACATCAGTCCTAACAACTTATAATGCTAAAAGATAGAAACGCCAAAAATATTTGACAAATATAAGAATGACTAATAAGAAATGCTCCATTAATCCATAAATTACATTATTTTAGTAAACTTTTCACTGAAAGGATATATAAAGATATCCCAATGGCAAGCATTCGATCTTCTTAAGAGGTTATAGAAGCAAATTGTCCTGGAGACTTTAAAATATATAGTATCACACAACAAAATATATATTTAAAAATCAGCATTTATAACAACTCATGCAATATATCCCCTATTGATCGAAAAAACATAAGCTTATCTCATCTATAGATATCATACAAATATTACAGTAGTATGATTTGGGCAGTACGTATTTATTAGTTCTATAAACCCAACACTTCTACAAATTAATGATATTGCATACTAGATTTCATATTATATATTTTGCAATATTGCAAAATTGTTTTTGGATTAAATATAAGTGATAAAGATACATATTACTGCTGTCCATCATCATTCTTGGCCAAAGACAGCCAGGACATCTCCCAAAGTCTTCTCAAAAGTTTGATTTGCTACAAATCCAGTCAAATTTTCCACACATCATTGAGAAGGTTAGGGTGAATTATTATATACTTCATTTTACTGAAATTATCTAAAATGTCAGAGTGAAATCCTAGTCCTTGAGGCCCAACACTTCCTTTGTCAAGTTAAAAGGTTCAACAAGGAGAATAACCAAATATCCCATCCACTATTACACTTGATACATCTGTACCATTAATGTACTCTAATGACTGGCTATAACAATTTTAGATATGCCAAAATCCACCACTCTCCTGAATACCATGTCACTACATAATCATTGTGCTACCATGACTTCAGCCTGACCACAATCTAGTAATATCTGATGGTGTAGAACCAAAAGACGACACACGGCTCAAATACCACTCTAGGGCTTCTGAAAATTCTCTCAATCAAATATTCATTCAATCAAAGGTAACTAAAAACCATTACAAGAAACCATAGATATAGACATAAGCACCATCTAATTAGGAAATCCAATAAAAGGAAATTAAGGAATTGGAAACTATTAATAAAGAAATAAAATCCTGTTAAATCATACTCTTAATTATTCATATTTCTTCAATTTATAGTCGTCCAATGCCTTCTCGATCCCCATCACCTGGCCCTTAATAAAACTAACTTGTACACAAGCTATCCTCAGGATCTCCAGGACTACATTCAGCACCAATCCCAAATCCATTATCAAGAAGCAATAATCAATTGTCAAGAAGACTAGAACAACAAATTTTCAATGTGGATGAACAATGTTTGTGTTCGAATAATAATGCAATGTCGGACACATCCATTTCAAATGTAGAGATACCACTTCAAGCTTTAAGCATACATAGAACACACACAATAAAAAATTGTACAATTCACTAAGGCCATGTTTGTTTGGGCGGACTGGATTAGTATTCCTATGACTAATAGTCCTAGGACTACCAATCCGTTGGATTATGCATCCTATCTTAACTAATAGTCAAGTTTAAAATAATTAATCCGTACTTCAATTGTTTAACCAAACATCGGATTAATAATTTTATTGGACTATTAGTCCAATCCCAAGCTCATGTCCACCCAAACAAACATGACCTAAGTGTGAAACATTCAGAAACATAGCACGCACAACATGACATGATATCTTAAAAATACCCTATTTTATAAAAAGTCAAAGCTATACATAAAGTTGAAATATACAATGCATTAATAACTGTAATTTTTCCTCTCTGTTCTGGTCCGGACCCCATTTTCTACTTGATGTTGTTGGCAGGAGGGTATCAGTTTCTTACCTGGTGAGCCAAAGCATACGCCATTGCTCTCTCACGCTTGGCCGCCGCCTCCTGTCTCTTTAACAATTTGGCTTGAATTTCTTTGACAGATCCTACACTGTCACACCATCCCTCCTGCACCAAAATCAGAAGCAAAATATGGAAGTTGCCGACTTTAAGAAGAAAGTGATACGTAAATATTTAAAAAAACATCCAAGCTCATGCACATAAGGCTTCTCATATTTGTTTGCATAGTAGCACTTCAGTTGCCTGCTCAATCCACAGAACACAAATAGGATTTCTATACAAGCACCGGTCCACAGGACTACATTACCTCATACACTTCAGATAGTTGGGTTACTTCATACACTTCAAATAGCATTTGTACTTCCTGACCCTAAACCTTCTGTTTCAGCTACGTTCCGTTTAGCCTTATTCCAACCATCAATGACATCCGACACGAACTTGGTTCATTTTGGCATTTTTTTTTTTTTTTAATAATCACATCAAATGAAACTTACCCAACTCCCAGCTTTAGTGTCCCATATAAGTGCCTCGTCCTCAAATAGACACTGTTTTACTACATCACAAGAGATTCCTCATATATAAAAGCTGAAACAATGATTCCTTATTCTCTTCCAGGGCCATTTAAGCAAACAATCAAGCTTTCCTCATATATAAAAGCTGAAACAATGATTCCTTATTCTCTTCCAGGGCCATTTAAGCAAACAATCAAGCTTCTTATAGAAACAAACAGTATTATCTTAAAATTTTAATGTTCAACCGAGATTGATCCATATTTTTAAGCCTAGACTATTCCACCATTCAAGAATAAATAAGGCTGCCTCACATGTTGAAGATGATTACCATAAGGCCCAAAATGATAGGTTCACAAAGTAAAAGAACACAGAAAAATCTTATGACAAATTGGAGTAAAGGAATGGGGACAAAACTTTAAAAGAAAAAGAAAAAGAAGAAAAAACGGATCACGGATCTCAAGTGTCTTCGTGTGGGGGATATAGTAAGTAAACCATAAAGCACGATGGTGTCAATCTTGACTCTAGATGGCCATAGCAGTTCAATTCATTGCTCGAGTCAAAATCTGTTTTTCTGGTTATAATACAATTGAAACCAACTAAACCTTTGATTAATCTCTGCTGGTGCAATTCACCAAAAAAAAAAAGCAATAACAATAAAAACAATATTGAATTATATTAATACCATTTTCAAAATTCAGGAACATGTTGGCACCATATGAACATGAAATATTGCTGCATTATTTAAAGGGGGAAAGAAAAACTATCTAAGAGTGAACCCTGTGCTTACCTCAATTTCTCGAACACAAGCCTCATGTTCAAGTTGTTGCTGAAGTGTTTCTTGTGCTGTTTGACTTTCCAAAGACAAACAAACACGCCGAGCTCGAACACGAGCCTGAACTCTCACTAGCGCTTGCATACAACGAAGAGTAATTGCTGCTTGCTTCCTCACAGCATGGCCCCTAACCAGGGCTTGAAGTCTTACCAAACCTTTCAAAGCTCGTAAAGCTCGCCTAGCCTGACAATTATTGCCAACACATTCCATATGACCAAAATTGTATAACTGAAGTCCCAAGTATGTTTTAAAATATACATATATTATATATAGTAACATTATAGAGATACATCAAATGCAGCAACACGTAGAGTTTCATTGTAAACTTGGCATCACGGATTGAAGTAGCTTTGTAATTGCAATCAATACATAGAGTTTTGTGGAGGGATTGTAACTTTGCATGAATTTCCAGTTTGTCAATCAATGAATGAACTTTGCTTATTTCTTTTTTTAGGGATCGACAAATCAAATGATATTTTCTTTTTTGCAAGTGATACAAAGAACCTTTTTTTTTAAAAATATTTTTTATTATGTTTTATTTCTTCTTTTTTTTTCACTTCATCTCAATCTCTTTATTTTTAGGGTAAATTACACTAACCTCCCTTGAGGTTTGGAAAATATATAGTAAACCCTCCAGTTTTGACATAATTACACTAACTTCCTTTTTAGTAAAGTTAAATGGAATGAAACTAATCCAAATAATGCGAAAACTCAAAAATAAACAACATAAAGTATATATTTTCGTGTAAAAGATATGGCAACATCAATTTTTCATCCATATAACCAACAAATTATTGATGAAAAGGGGACTATGTGTTATACAAATTAAAATCTCAAAGGAACTCAATGCAATTATGCCAAAACTATGGGGCTTACAGTATTTTGTCTAAACCTCGAGGGAGGTCAGTGTATGTGTAATTATTTATTTATCTCTTCTTCATTTAACTTGGTAGCAGAGCTTTCAATTGAATCCAATCAAACGTCCTACACACTAAAACTTATGAAAATTCAAACGTAGATTGCAAGAGGAAGGAGCCGAAGAGTTTTATGCAGCTGATGTCAACATCGAAGTGATGGCATCATGCTGATGTCAGCATAACGGTGATGTCATCAACCCAGAATCACAAGGAATTATCCTATCTACCTGGAATTTCACGTGGACTGTGTGCCCAACAAATAACATGAGGATAAATGAATACATGGCCTTAAAAACAAGGAAATAGTGGACAAACTATAGAATATCATTGGGCAGGCACACGGACACGTGGTGTTCCAGACCTACTAGATAATTTCTGTAGAATCACACCATCTGGTGAAACTCTATTACAAATGCCTCATGAAGCTCCATTTTACTACATAACAAACTTTTATAGAACGGTTCATGAAGTGCCATTTACTTACCCTTGTGTACAAACACGTTTATTTTATTTGTAAGATCATTCAACAGGCATAACAATTTCATTACTCTGTCATCTTCAATGCATTTCTTTTCATATCATTGTCTTCAAGGAAATACAAAGATTTTTCTAAGAGTTGCTGGCTGATAAAATTGAAATTAGGTTTGTTAATGTAAAATGTAAATTGTAAAATGTAAACATACCATCCACTCCACCTACCACCTCCACTACCACCCAACCATCCACTCCACCTATCACCTCCACTTCACTCCACCTACCACCTACACCTACTACCACATTCTCTTCTATATATAGGAATTGTAAACATAGCATCAATAACATCAATATATACATTATTCTATTTCTTTATACATTAAATTTCTACAGGTACAATATTGAAGTACTGGATTTTTAACATTGAAAACTCAGATAATTTTTCCATTTAAGATTAAAATTTAAAAGCACCTTCCACTAAGCATCTATAACATTCAACAGTAAGACCCTGTTTGGGAAGGGCTATCTAGGCTAAAATAGCCAATAAAAACACAATAGGTTAAAATAGCTAATAAGACAAAATGGCACATCCAACCCATAATCATTTCATCCTTTCTCTCACAACCATCAAATCAACTACAAAAAAAACCAACTATCTTCCCAAACACAAATTTTTTAGCTAGACTAAAATAGCAAAATAGCAAAAAAGTCAACTTCCCAAACGAGGCCTAAGTCTTGTAAAATAAAGACCCTTTTGACGTGGAGGTCAAGTGATAATGGCACTGGCTATCAAACACATTTAGCTTGGTAGGGTCCTAGTCTGGTTTTGGGAGTAGGTGATTTAACAAAGACAACTGTAGGTAACTAGTCGTCTGAGTCAAAGCCTACATGACACTCTATTCCCAGTGTTCAATTTGTATCAAATGCATGATGTTTCCAGAAAATTTGAATATATACTTCCTTAAAAACAAGTCTAAGTCAGATTTTAGTAATTGACTAGAGCATTATACAGGTATAGTAGTCAGCCTATGTAGTCTAAAATTATTATTATTATTTTTTTTATCAACAGAGCCTAGATATCAATCTATAAGAAGGCAATAAGTTTCAAATAACATAAGATAAACACGGTCGAATCCCATTAGCTGGTTCATAAATATATCTTATAAATTTCTTTCCTAGCTTGCTTCTCTTTTCTGTCCTAAAATTTGTCTAACCTCCTTGTGTAATTCCATAAAACAAAAAATGCCCCATTTCATTGCTAAGAAGTAACTGGAGAGAGGAGAGAACTAGAAAAATTGAAACAGGTGCTCCACAACATACATGTCCCAGAGATCACATATTTCCATTTCTTTGCCAGCATCTCTGCATTTGATAAATAGTATAAAATTTTACCCTTACCAAACCTTCAAATCAAAATGGACAATACTCCAAGCGTCTCTCCATTTAAGTAGTATAATGTACCAAGCCCTTGAGAAAATGTTGTTTAGGAATTCAGGCTACTAAAAAGTGGGCAGAAATGCATTCAAATAAAAGTGAAAAGAAATATGAAATTTTTTAAATCTCTTCAGGTAAGTAAATTGGATGTTCTTGATTTTATTCAGTAGTCTCGGAACATCATGTGGCATTTCTTACGTGGTGCTCCAAACCAATCACGCAGCGGAAAATTTTACGGATGAAACATGCTGACTCACCTTTGTTAGATAGCTAGGAGACAAAGGAGGATGACCCACTTAGTTTATGTTTCAGTTTCTTATTAGCCAAGAGTACCACGTAGACGATGCAACATAATACTCCACGAATATCTAATAGTTTTCCATTTCAACATGTTGCACAATAGCAGGTTGGATTATTATAGGAATCCATGCACCTATATCTATAAGTAGTAAGTCACTATTCTTAACATGGACAAAAGAATGACAAAGGTGAAGATAAAGAAACAGAAGGAAGCCTAATAATAACATCAGCAATGAAGTTTTCTTATCTGTTAGGAAATGAATCCAATAAAGCACCCAAGGGGAGCAAAACCCGTATAAACAAAGTAACTGAAGTGAAACCAAAAAGAGGAAAAGCTACACCATATTCCACCTTCCAAAAAATTTAACAAAATATCTGAAGAAACAACCTCACACACACAGGGAGTGGGAAACCATGAATGTAAATAGCTAATCTCAGCTCTAGAAAAGTGTAAAGTTTTAAAGAAAAGGGTAAAGTTTTAAAGAGATGCTCAGCTCTCGAGCACCTATCAACTGATAATATCCGTAATATAAAATAGGAAAAAGACTAACCCATTCAAAAACAAAATCAAAACATATATTCAGGGCCCTTTTTTTTTGATGGCATTCAGGGCCAATTGAGGCAGCTAAAAAATGGAGGGAAGAAATTAAGTACCAAAAATCCTCGAAAAGTTGTTTGGATGCATGTGGCCGCCCATTCTTCTCTCATATTCTGTTGATCTTGAACTGCATCCTGCACTTGCAGCAAGCTTGATGGAGAACCAGCAGCATCTGGGATTGAAAGGATGTTTGCATCTACAATTGGTGGAGCAGCATTGTGATTGAAGTCATCTTGAATTACGTCAGCATCAATCTCAACTGAATGCTTTCTCTGGTGCTGGAATTTTCGAGTTCTCTGCAATATCCAGAAAATATGGAATGAAATGTCTACGCTGAACCAAAATGTTTCACATTCAACAATATCAGGAACTAAATTTGCATCTAAAAAGTTGCCTATAGGGCAAAGGCTAAGCCCTCAGCACTGGAAGCATTCTTAATAACATTTTTATCCCCACAATGGATTTTCCACTTTCCAACATCCAAATATACTGCCACTATCCGTGGTGGTATCCCATGTAGAAAGAGGTGAAATTTCTTTTTCTTTCACGCCATGCTTCCCATAATCAAATGTTTAATTTGACACTAAATATAGGAAATAGATAGCTCCTGTTTTCTAATGTTCATAAGAAATCCCACTTAATTGTTTGTTGGCAAATGCATCCAGCTCAACTCAACAAAGCACCCAATAACCGGAGGTTGGGTACATGAGTCCTACAACAAATTTCCAGGATTTATGCTCATAAATATTGAACTAATTGTTCTACATTGATTGTGTAGCAACGTAACCCCTCCCTTTTGTCCACGCTTGAAAGTGTCCATGGAAAAGGGACAATACTTGTCACGACACGTTGTATTTGGATAAACGCACATAAGCAACACAAAAATACCCTTCAAAATTCAAATAGCAGCACCTCTGAACAAAGTTATAAGACAGCCTAAGTACAATTCCTCATACTGATAGAGCAAACAAATAAAGTAAAAGAAGACAGATGCAAGCAGATTTCCAAGCAGGTGTCCTGCACCGCAGGAGAGGGGAGAGTATATCTCACTCATAATGAGATCTTAGTGCAGATGCTATCAGATATAATCCAATTATTGTAACCCATTTTTTAGAACTTGTAACAGCAAAACCCAACTTCAGAAATGGAACACACTTGAGTTAACAATGTCTAACATGGGAAAAATAGAAAAATAGTAAAAATAGATGCGCACATATTCATCCTTATTTGATGATTGTGATTTTTCTGATTTCTTTAAGCCAACCAATGCTTTAATCCACTTCCCAGAGACACCCATGATTGATATCCCTTCAGCTCTACCACTTCAGACCTGTCACATCAAAGCCTTCAAAAACTGAGTACATAATGTGTGCTGCTCATACATAAACCCACTTAGCAGTTAGCAGCCAAAGAAAATAACTTACAAACATGATCAGCACAAGATATCATTAAGCTCATGATAGCATTGAATAATTGTGGTGAACAGGCTTCTTAGAGCCTAGAGGAGAGGAAGAAAAGTTTAAATAATGAAGTAGCATTTAACTATCCAGATCACCTGAGTTATAATGCATGCCCTTTTTGGGTTACACCAGCTTACCAGAGAGGTATGCTCCAAGTTGACCACTTCAACCAGAGGACCCAAACTGGCTACCAAGACATTGGTTCGTTTTATTGAAAAAATGCAAGGAAAATAACACAACTTTGGGATAAAGAACCGTTTGCAATATGTCAATGTATATCACATTGTTCTTCATAACCTCCTTATTTTGTCCAAATTTCCAATACCATTTTCACAACATATACTCATCCATGACATGCCAAGGACGGACACAACTATACAACATGACAAGGACACAATACAAACACACCGACATGGTAATGTTAGAAAATGCAAGACACAACACATAAGGGACATGCACAAACTATGTAGTTTTATATATTTATTATATGTCAATATACGAATATTTCATTCAAAGATAATAAAAATACAACATAACACTAATTTTTAAAATTTTAAAGCAAGAGGGATTAATAGGCATAAGTTTACAATGTCCTTCTTTTATCATTAAATCCCAAGTTATTTTGTTCAAACTTGTAATGTGTTTCACGCAAGTCAAAACGATGGATATGTGTGCTCCCTAAATGTCCAAAGCTTAAAAAAAAATTAAAATAAATAAATAAATAATGACACATTTTGATGTGTTCCTGATGAGTATTGGTGTCCGACACATACGCAACACAGACACGCCACCTTCTTATAAGTATCCATGCTTATTAGCTGATATGTACTGCTCTCTTTTCATATCAAGCAAAGTTCTCATTAATTACCAGTGAAATTTTTATCCTCCTAGTAAAAATGCATCACTAAATTGAACTCACTTCAAACTAGATCATTTTTTTCTCTATTTTTCTTGATATTCTAAACGTGTGCTACTATTTCCATTCATAATCTTAACCTAGATCACTTTCTATCAAATTCATTCTACTTGTGTTACAATCTTCATTCAAAATTTTATGCACAATCGAAGGCAACAAAGGAAGGGAGCTGGTCATGTAGTAGGTAATGACCAAATGCTGAGCAGTAATGAATCAGAAAGAAAAAGGTAAACAGACTTGCAACTAGATGATAATCAACTCATATCTAATCCAGCTTTCTTATATGATCTAATATGTGCTTAGGCCTGGCAGTATTTAGTCTAACCTCTGGCTGGGCCAGTCATGGATATCCAAAGCTAACTAGGAAAACCAGCCAAGACCCAAGAAAAAGTTCAGTATAAACAACTTCCTCAACACATATTGGTTGGCTATCAGAATAACTGAATATAAAGCACAAATTGGTAATTTTGTAAATGCAAAAGCCGGCTATTAGCACACATTTATTAGTGTGCGCACAACCTGAATTATTGAAAGGATGAACACCGTATTTCCCATCTACAATAACTTATCACAAGAACAACAATGTTCATTATCCCTTTCAGAAAACTAAAGCCAAAAATATGGTATTGCTTTGATATAAAATTTATTACGTGTTGTATTAGTTAACTCAATTGTGTTAGCTCATTGAATTGACTCATTTGGGTTGGCTCACATTCTAGAAGAGCAAGTTGGCAAGTTGCAATTCTGGAAGCTAAACCTACAACATCAACTTGCAAGCAAGTTGGCTAGTGGATGCTTGGCCAAATTCCTAAATTGTCCCCAAAAATATGCGTGTAAATAAGGGTGCAAGGAGGGAGCAAAAAGCAAGCAAGTGAAGAGCATCAAGTCTTAGCCAAGAGTGATAGAAAGAAAGTGAGTGAGGTGAGGTTGAGAGTGAGAGTGAGAGTGAGCGAGAAATTAGCTTTGTAATTTCTTCAATTTTAGTGAAATTTCGCTGCCCAGGGAGACAGGCGATTTGCCGAACCACATAAATCTTGTGTGTTTATTATTTGGTTGCTTGTTTGTGTTTGTTTCTGGGCTCTGGGCACAACATTAAGAGCGTCACTTGGTACTCCAAAGACAACATCACAAGAAACTAAAAAGTCCTTCTCTGACATAGTTAGGAATGGCAACGGGCCGGGCCGGGCCGGGGCCGGGGATTACACTCCCCGTCCCCGATCCCCGAAGGCAAAAAAATCCCCGTCCCCGCCCCCGATCCCCGATGGGGAACCCATCACTCCCCCCGTCCCCCCGTGCCCCCATCCCTTAACGGCAATCAGGTTTCCCGGACCTCGAAAAATCCCCGACCTTTTTTTTTTTGTGTAGCTGGAAATTTTTTTGCTTGGCTATTGTATTTTCCTGGATTCTATTCCAACTGTACAAGGCAGTGGCATGAATGTAACAGTTTGGAAGTTAATGAATGAAGGTAATATTTTGCAGGTTGATGAATGAATGTATTCTTATGCAAGTTTGCAGTGAATGCAGCTTGTATTTGCCTTGGCATGAAGGAAACAAATTCATATAATACCATTCACTAACATTAAGTCTTTTCCATAAAAACAACCTATTACCATAAACTTAAATACAATACATACACATTAACCCCTCAAATACAGTACATACACTTCACAGATTTGCCATTCAATGAACAACAAAACTACATCATTTCTAATTACCAACCATGTCCAAAGTTAAAACAAAAATTATAAGTAGTTACTCACACAGCTTCCACATATATCTCTATGCCTCTACATATTCACACACACACACACACACACACACACACATATATATATATATATATGTATCTATCATCATCATCATCAACAACTTACAAAAAAAGAAAGGAGATCTAAAATTGTCGAGATCTGCGACAGAGGACGGTGGTGGTGGAGGATCAGCAGATCTGCGACGGAGGAGGCGATGAGTGATGTCGAAGAGGAAGTGATCTGCTGCGGATCTGCTGCGGTGGTGGTGGAGGATCGGTGTTGGGGAGGCGGAGGCGTTCGGGTGTCGAAGAGGAAGCCATGGCGGTGGTGGTGGAGGATCAATTCGACGGATCTGTTCAGATCTATTTTGGATGATGATAAGAAATGAGAGAAAGAAAATGAGAGAATGAGAGAAATTTGTGTTTGTGTGTGAATGAGACTATGTTCAAAAACTGGGGTCAGGCATCATATATTATATATATAAACAGGGGTAAAATAGTAATTTTATATCGGGGGCAACCGGGGCGGGGATCGAGGCCAGGGTCGGGCCGGCTCCGGGACTGAAACATGTATCCCCGTCCCCGGCCCGAATACCATCGGGGATTTAATTTTTAATACCACCCCCGGCCCGTCGGGAGTATTTTTCGGGGAATAACCACTCAATTCGGGGTTGGGGGATCGGGTCCCCGTCGAGTCGGGTTCCGATTGCCATCTCTAGACATAGTCTCATTTGCACAACTCTTGGAGAAGAAGAAAAAAAAAAGAAAAAAAAGAGCACTATTGAGAAAACTAAGTTGCTAAAATGAGACTCAACTACACAAAAATTAGTTTATTAACTGAAAAGCAATATGTACCAAAGAAAAATTCACAATCCAAATACAATAATGAACTGGAAACATCAAGCATCAAACGCCTAATAACAGTCCAATGGTACAATGAATTTAACTTGGCAGTGCTCTTACAGAAACCCTAGTGATAAACCATATAGATATAGGCATTACTATCACTAACCTCTGATTAATAAGCTTCAGATGTAAGACATTTTCTCCACTTCAGAGTTGGCACTTGATTGAATTAGGTTAAGTCAGCTGCCAAAGAACCTGCATATTTACATACTCGCGCTCCAATTTCACCCTAAAACAAATAGACTGTGTCACAAACATTGTAAAATCCTAATTTAAATCTGGTTTCATCAAGAAGTAAAAGGTTGAAGCAAAAGCATACAAAGCAGCACAAATGCACATACATGGAACTGCAAACATAACTTGTAAGTGTTAAAAGGCAAGAAATTGCAACTGTTGTATTTACAGTCCTCATGGCCCTTCAACGACCTTGAAGACAGAAAGCTATGTCAAGAACTCCACATGGACCCTACAAATCAACATGTGGGCAGGTGGTACCATGGACACTATTGGGGTGGTGTGGATCGTGATAAATACCCTGAATTTTGGAGCGAGAGCATTTTGATATTTCAACACTTGTGTCCTGTTGCATTAATTTCTATGATTTATAGTTGAGCGGGGAGGGGCAGCTATCCTTGTATTTTGTATTTATTTTTATTTTTTTTATCATAGTAACCATAGCAGCCATAGATGTAACCCTAGTTTTGGGGGGAACCGTAATTCTTTGTGTTCTTCATTTGCATTTGATTTATCATTTCTTGTATTATTCCTATTTGTTTTCGTGTCTCACCGATCCTGATTAGGTGTTTCAATTCCTAACCAACCATTTATGAGAGACAAACTTATCTAAAACAGGTATGTGACACAAATTTTGATACAACCAATAGTAACATTTCCTTATGTAATGAGGTCCATGAGATACAGATCTTGAAATTCAAAACTTCCAGCATATTTATGGCTTAAAAATCCTAATTTGTGAACACATTTACTAACAGTAGTTATCCTAAAAGTTCAAACCACTTAGGGCATCTCCAATTCTCTCTTTACTCATATCAAATTCAAATTTGAGTAAAAATGTTAAAAACCTTTCTCCACTCCTTTACTCAAATTCATACATACCAAAATGAGTTTTGCTCAAATTTTGACCCAAATCAAGGGAGACCCTTTATTTTACTCAAATTTCTAAAAGAAATTTTGTGGTGATATAACAGCTTCTAAATTTACAAATGTGCCACTTTTACTCAAATTTGAGTTTGGCCATTTGGAGTACATATCAAATGAAGCTTTTACTCAAAGATATATAAAGGCCTCGTTTGGGAAGTGACTATTTTAGTAGGCTATTTTAAGTAGGCTAAAATTTTTGTGTTTGGGAAGATGATTGGATTTTTTTGTGGTTAGATGTGATGTTTCTGAGAGAAAAAGTGAAATGATTATGGTTTGATGTGATATTTTATCTTATTAGCTATTTTAACCTATTTTGTCTTTTTGTGATTTTTAGCCTAAATTTGGCTATTTTTTTTCTTCCCAAACACCCCCAAAGTATATATATATATATATGTAAGGGCTGGAGATGATCTTACATTGCCTGGTAATCTTCACCAAGATTTCAAACCTAGTACGACACGAGCTCGTTGCAGCACGAATTCATCAAAACGCAACTTGATAAACCTAACCAACCAACTCAATTCAATTCAAACAATCGAGGAAGCTACAAACAAGCCAATGATGGGTTCCTCGAAATGTGAATATAAATCATCGGAGTCAACCCAGAACCTTGTATACCTCAATGTATCCAAAAAAAAAAAGAAAAAAAGATGTGGATGGAAAAACAAATGTCTGCAAAAACCCAAAAAACTAAACTCGATTAAACCACCAAATAAGACCAATTCAGCAACGAAAAATCACTATTCAGTGCATAAACGATGTAGATCGACAAAACAAGAACACACTCACATAGTTAAAAGAGAGTAGTAGAGAGCTGAATTCTCACCTTCTTCATTCTGAGAAGAGAGAGAGAGAGAGAGAGAGAGAGAAAAGAAGAAGAAGAAGAAGCAGAAGAAGACAAGGGAATCAGGAAAATGAGAAAAGGAGAAGTGAGAGTACCTTTTGATGAGTGAGAGAGTGTGTATCAAATCAATCAATCTATTTTATCAATCAGTAAAGGAAAAAGGTCAAATCTGAGTCTAACATCTGTGCAACATCTTTTGGTCGACCAATTCGAGAGGGCTTGGAATTTCGAAGATCGGATTCGAATTCAAAAATGCAATTTCGATTTTTTTATTGCTCTTTCATGCTTAACACCCTATTACTGTGTTTGGTTTGAATTTTTTGATTTAAATTTTTTAGAAAGGGTTTTTTTTAAGATTCTTGATATTATGATTTTATAGTATAAAGGACATTAACTATTTTCATGATGTCTAAGGTCCTTCAACATCAATTCAGAGAAATTTCAGTCCAGAGAAAATTCGATCTAGAGAAAATTCAATTCAGAGAAATTTAATTTTGTCTAAAATTTACCTCTCATTCTAGCCAAAATGAGGTGTATAGTTCTAGAAACCACAATTCATGAGAGACAGAAAATCTTCATGTGGAGGTTAGTCTCAGCAAAAATCCAAATAGACTCCTCTGAATGTCTTTTCTACGGAGCGGAACCTGAATCTGCAGTCCATCTGTTCTTCTTATGCAAACCCATCAAGATGATTTGGTTTGCCAAGTTAGGTATTAGGACAGATGATTTCTCCCACCTATCATTATCAGATTGGATCAACCATATTCTTACTTCATCCTTGATATTTGGAGTTTCTCCTCCAAGCAAGTCAGATTTTGTGCTTTTTGCAGTAATTCTCATGGAAAAAACTTGGCTTCGGAGAAATAGAGCCATCTTTTGCTGTCCAAAGGTTGAACCAGAGAAATTTCAAAATTTCTCTGGACTCTCCAAACCCAAAGAAATTCTTAGACAAACATTTCTAGAGATTCTCCCACCCAGAAAATTTCTCTGGACTCCACAACCCAGAGAAAATTCTCAGCCAGAGAAATTCTCTCAACCCAAAGAATTTCTTTGGGCATGACCAGATGTAATAGCTGAGTTGAAATACGGTGATATAGTCACTCTGCCGCCAAAGTATGCCTAAAGATGCAACAAACTATCTTGAATCACTACTTAAACATAAAATTCATTGGAACATGATAACTTGATTTTTTGTGTTCCATAAGAACATGCATCAAATGAAAAACTTGTATGGCTGCCCAATCAGGATAAACATGAATGTTGGCTTGATCCTTTGAATTTTCTCGGGGTTGAATCCAGAGAAAATTCAAATTTCTCTAGGTTGAATCCAGAGAAATTTGAGAAATTCTTGGAGTATAAGCTCCAAGACAGACCACTACCTTGCAACTTCGGTAGAGTTGGATCCCAATTTGCATGTTGAAGCTTCGTTGCAGTCTGCCAAGTACTTTCCAGAAACGTTTTAAAGCCTTGGATGCGTAACAACGTAGCAAGTTGTCGCAGCGGCCTGAACAAAAATTCAAATACATTAACACACTTGCACATACTATAAATACTTACAATAAGATATATAAATTAAGTGTATATCATCAAAAATTTGAGCGAGTGATTAATAAACACTACTTGAGGAATTGTCTTCAATAACTTGGAAGCCAAGAAGAATACCAGATCTGCATATTTTATCGCTTCAATTTTACAACCTCAAGACTCAACTAGATGCGTATATATATATATATATATATGTATATGCATGAATCTCAGGTTTAGAGAATAGTAGCGACCTGTTATGAGGCCGGGTCGCGGATCCCGGCGGCGCGGAGGTCTGCGATGGTGGCGAAGCGGAGGGAGGAGTCGGAGGAGAAGGTGTTGAGGAAGAAGTCGTAGATGAGGGTGGAGGAGCAGAGTTTGTTGCCTTGGATCTGGAAGACAGTGAGTGAGAGGAGAAGAGAGAAAGAGAGAGAGTAGAGTAGAGACAAAGAGTCAAATTTCTCTAATATATGTTTAGGGACCTTAGACATCAAAAAATAATTTTGTGGATCTCTTCCATTATGAAAAGTGGGAGAGCAACCCTAGACCAATTTTCCCTTTTAAAAATTGAGTTTTTTGATTTTTGTATTTTTTTGTTTTTAGTGAATATTTTTAAAATTTTAAACATTTTTTTTTTATTTTTTAAGATGCACCTTACTTAGATATGTCTAAAAAGTAAAAAAATTGTGAAAAAATATTTTTAAAAATTAAGAAATACATAAAAATACAAAAAATGTACTAAATTCTTATATTTTTTTTTTGTATTTTTGGTATTTAGTGAATTTTTAAAAGAAACCTTTGGTCTTAGCCTGCAAGACCTACCATTCCATGACTATACCTTTACCTTTATCTTCCTTTGATGAGCGTCGGACGATTGACCTAGATGTAAGGTGGAAACTTTTATTCAACATGAATGAATCCAGCCAATACGACAAAAGAAAAACTCAAGGAACTGACATACACCCCAAACACAAATAACGAAAAAAAAGCCAATATAACCGAAAAAACCAAGCAAATACAGTTGATACCCAGATCAAGACTAACACACCGTAACAGGAAATACCCACGTCGAAACAAACCTGTGGGTCGTTGGATCAGAAAAACCATTAAAAGGCGTCAGAAAAACGCCCACATCGTAGTAGGAGAGGAGAAGATCAAATCTAAACCGAAAAAAAGAGCCAAAATAGCTCAAAGCATAACCGGCGAACCCTTCCTCCCCTCGTCGGAAATCACTTGTCACCGAAGTTGATGCCGCAAATCGCATCGAGAATCGCGGCGAAAATCGCCTAGAACCTTCCCGAGTAATCCATATTGTAAGAATGGATAAACATGTTCCCATTCATAGTGGACTTTCCATTATAATCCACTTTCTACTCGAGCTAAGTTGTTTAATTTGCTAAGAGATCAATTGCTAGCTCGTTGACCCCATCACATGTCCCATTCAGCCGACATACTACCGTGCAATGAGGTAGCTCGAATTTCACCTCTAACAAATTAGGATAGGGTTTGCAAGAAAGGATGAAAGGAAAGATGAAAAAGACAACGAAGAGAATATTTTGATAATTTACCACCCCCAAAAAACTGTTATTGTTTGTAATAATTTTACATACTTCTATTTCCATGGCAATTATTTATTATTCCCCACTCTTTTGTAATTACTTCTAATCTTCCTATTTATCTGCATTTTGTCCAAATTTTTAATTATGAATATATATATATATATATATATATTTTATTGAAACACCAATAAATCTTAAATAATGATTTTATAACTTGTTTGGTCCTTTTTTTTTATGTACTTAAAAGTCTCATTCCATTGTAAATGACGTAAAGAGCCAAACATAAACTCGCGTGTGTTATGTATTGAAGAATAAATGTGAATTTTCTTATAATGTCAAAATTATTAAACATAACACTTCAAAAAAACTCCTTAGTGTACTTTTTTCAAATGTTACACTCTAATGTAACATATTGAAAAAACTTCTTAGTGTATTTTTTTTCTCCAAATGTAACACTCCAATCAAACTAGTTAGGCCTATTTTAATTACAAAAAGATAAAATAAACTAAAAAACTAATAAAACAAAATGTTACATTCAAATAATAGTTATTTCATTTTTTCTCTTACAAAAGTTAAAAAAACTAAAAAGTCCATCACAAAATAGGCTTTTTAACCTAAACTAAAAAGTCAAAAAGTTAACCTCCTTCCCAAACAAAAACTCAATGTAACATAAAAAAACTTCTTCGTGTACTTTTCTTAAACGTAATGCTCTAACGTAATTAGAAAATTCCTTCATATTCTTTTTTCAAACATAACAATATAACATTTAAAAAAAAATTCTTAATTTTTTGTGTCCAAACTTAATACTCCAATCAATATAATATGCAAAATTTTCTTAGTATACTTTTTTCAAACATAGAACTCTAATGTAACTCTCCAATGTAACACCAGAAAATCACATTAACAGAAATTTAGATTTTCATGCTCAACAACTAACACTTCAGCCATCAATCTCCTCATAAAAAATCTTCCACACCTCACCTAGACTCTTCCACACCTCACCTTTCCATTTCCATCCCAAAAACAAATCAGAAAATTAGAAAAATGAATCCAAGGACATTCAGTTAAACTCAAATGACACCAAATTAAATAGATACAACTTTTTAAAACAAAAAAAAAAAAACTAATTGGTTCATAAAAAAATTCTTAGGATTAAATAGATCAATATTCCCCCCATATGGGATTTATTTTTTCCTAAAAAGAAATCAAATCTTTAGGGTTTAAATTAACAAAATTAAAACTTTCAAAATTTATTTTGTTACAAGGGTCAAACCTTAAGGATAAATCTTGTTTTTTTTTACCAAGCTAATTTTTTAATATCTTATTAAAACCAATTTCTAAAATTTTAACTTTGTGGGTGTTTGGAAAGTGAGTTTTTTTTAGGTTTTTATGTGGTTTGAGTATTTTAGTAGGATAGTTTATTTGTGTGTTTGGAAAGATGGGATAGATTTTTTTGAATTTTTTAATTTTTGTGAAATAAAAAATAAAATAATTATAATTATAATTTAAATATAATATTAAAATTTTAATTTTATTTATTTAATTTTGATTATTTTAATAAAAAACTTTATTTTAAATTGCCAAACGAAAGCTAAATTAGTTTATAAAGGAGCAGACAGGTGGGGAGTGGGCTAGTGTACGCGGCGGTGGTGGGGACGTTTAGGGTCAGCGTGGGACGTCGTCGTTTGGGGTGAAGAAGGTGTGGTTGTCGGG